TGAACTGAGTAACACCCATTTCAAAAAACTAACTATATTTATTACAGTGCCTAGGGCAGTGGCCAGGCATGGATGAAACTGAGCATGTGCTCATCTCCTCACAGCTTATGGTACCCTTCAAAAACTTTCCTGGCACCATAACTGATGATCACTGGTTCAAAGGAAAGAAAATACTCTTTAACATAGACCAGGGCTGTCCATCTGGCAGCCCAGGGGTTGTGTGGGCCCCTGGTGATTCCCTCTAGGCATTTGCTGCTGGTGCAGGTCCACATTGGCAGAGTCTTGGGGCTTCCCCACCCTCCCCTGGCTTCTTCTGGGGCAGGGGCAGCATGGTGCATCCCACAGTGCCAGGGGAGTCTGGAGTGCCCATGTGGCATGGTGCCACAGATGAGCCTGTAGGGAGCTGGAAGTGATGTGGGGTGCCATGCCACACAGGGGGGATACATACACAGGTGGTGCAGTGGGGTGGAGGAAACATGCCTGCCTATGGGATGTAGTGGAGGGGAGAGTGCCCACCTGCACATGTGGGGCATGTAGCTTGGAGTGCCTATGGCACCTACTGGTGCCTCCTCAGTGGTGTGGGACATATGGTCACTGGCCACTCAGAAGTTAGACAGCCCTGATGTAGACCAACCCTGAGATGAAGTGGCAGTGCAGCCTAACAGCTAAAACCAAGCCCAAGTGCTAGAAACTGCTGGGTGGGGTCAGGCCTCCCTAACCCATTTCAATAAATTGCATAGCAAAACAGCATTCACTTGCTACTTTGGTTGAAAGCTGCTGTGCTGGATGTCAGTCTAAGCAATCTGTAACCAAGTACATGTGAAAAAATATAACGGCTATTGAAAAGTAAGCCCCTGACCCTTTCTACCCCATATAGAGCCTTTTACAAACATATTCCAACTAGTGGATTGTTTTTGGTTGAATATTCTCCTACATCCTCTCACAGGACCTGGCAATGTCCAATCCTCTTCTACTCATAATCTTGCCTCCTGATAATTCTTCTCCAGTGGACTACTGACTTGTCTGCTGGGCAACCAGCCAAAGCACCTTATTTAAATGTACCTATAAGTATTCCAGCTCTGGACTGCCAGAGCAGAGAGCAACAAGAAATGGATAGGGTAATGATGTGGACTTGAGCTGCCAGCTGCCACATTGCCCCAGAGAAATGTTAAGCAACCTTAAGTTACAATACTGAGGAGGAGTTGAGGAGTGATGATCACTGGCCTGTAAACATCAAGTCACTTCTGCTACGCTGTATTTGTGGTCTAAAATTTAAGTAAAAGTTACTAAGTTAAACAGGACACTTGGTGAGTGAGGTTTCCTGAACTTGGGTTAAAAACCAACTAGTGCTCCTATATTGCCAAAACTGTTCTGTTATTGAAAGGTAAGATACCTATCCCCACGATATTTTATGCAAGGATTTTCCCTCTGCTTTTTATTTTTTAAGCAACCACAGTCAAACAAGGTGAAATTTTAGGCATGTGTCAATGTTCTAATTTAAATTATGCAATTTTTTTTTTTTTATGGCCAGAGTTAGTGGGAAATTTGCAGGTGCTGAAAATGGTGAATTTATGGATTCATAGTTTTTTTGTTTTTTTATAGAATTAATGTTTTGAGTTTGCCCAACATAGATGGATGAAGTATGGTTTAATGTCAGTGTTGGATCAGTAGATTTGTAAAATGTACCTAAAATATGATTGTAACCCTGTGGCTTACAATCATATTTTAGGTGCATACAAAAAAAAGCCCCAAAATTTTAAGCTGTACATCTTCAGAAGCCTCTCTCTCCTCCTTCTATAAGCAGAATTAGTGAATGATCACAATATCCTCTGACTTTACTTCTAAGTAGATATTTTAGTTTAGCAAGTCTTGTCTAAGGCCTACTTTACCTCACTTGAGGTGTGATCTTAAACTGACCTGTTGTCATATATGTTTTCCAAACATATAAGTGAATCCTAGTGGGAACAAGGCAATCTTATAATCTTTTTAATAACTATCTTTATTTATAGATGGTGAGAATACACCAGAGGAGCAGTTCTGGAGCTATGAACCTCAGCATTGCAAAGCAGGGTTGAAGAGAACCACACTTGTGAGCCAAGGCAGTAGTTTTAAGTGGCTCTACAAGAGCGGTGTATCCTCAAGACTTGTATAAGTGCCCAGAAACTTTTTTCTTATTGGCTGTGGGCTATGCAAAACGATGACCAAGGGTAACTGACTGGAGAATCTCTTTCCTCTCTCTCTCTAAACCAGGGGCAGGTAAAGTCGGGCCTGTAGTGGCCTTCATTTCCCAGCAGCCCCTGCCTGTGTTGCTGCAGCCAGTTTCCATGGAGACCCCAGCAGCAGTGAGGCCAGGATTTCTTTCCATGGAGACCAGCCCCTGGGGCAGCACTGGCAGGGCATGCAGCTGGGTGGAGAGCTGCTTTGGGAATGGGATCTTGCGATGGTGACAGCATAGTCTGGAGCCAGGGCAGAACTGTGATCTGCTGCCCCCATACCTGGGGCAGGGATGTGCAGGCTGTGGATCATGGCTCTGCCCTGGCCCTGGACCACGCTGTCACCGCTGCAAGATCCCAGCCCTGGCCTCGTAGTAGCTCCTTGCCAGCTGTGTGCCCTGCCAGTGCTGCTGCAGCCAGTCTCTGTGGAAACCCTGGCCCTGAGGTCCCACTGCTGCTGGTGTCTCCTTGGAAACCGGCCACAGCAATGCGGATGGGGGCTGCTGGGAAATGGAGTCTGGTACTGGTCGGATCCATCATTTTGCCACCCTGATCTAAACAAATCCGTTCCCATAACCAAGAACTTGGCCTCCATGTCTTTAAATCCTAAGAACAACTGATGATAAAGTCGACCAGTTGTAGTGAGCGCTTGTGGCTGATATCGACCGCCATTGCCCAGGTCACAGAATGAGATCACCCATGTATTTGACAGACTGGGGACCCAAGCAGATGGTAACTCATTTTGGTCATTTAATTTAGATCACTGCCTGAAATCCTGATGTGGAGTTAAGCAAGTGCTTTGAAGGGTGATGGACATGGTGCCCTTATCTTTTCATCTGCTACTGCTTTTGAAAAATAGACTTGTTCATCTCCAGTACAAAGGTCCTTTCCCTGTCTCACGACTAGGAGGACATTCGGTTAAATTAAAAAGTGGGAAATTTGGAACCAAGAAAGTTTCTTGCACAACTTAGTTTAATCTATGAAAGGTATTGCCCCAAGACATTACAAGAGTCAAGAATTTAGTACTGAAAATGGATTGGATAGTTCTACTTGTTATGAACACCCAGACTGTCAGAATCGCAGCAAAATTTTTGGAGGGACCACTAAACCTTGTGCATTATTGCTTAAACTAGTCTCTAATTATTAGAGACCAGAGGGAGACTTGTGCAGGGCAGGTTATTCCATTAAATGGTGTTTCTATGTTGTCAGAGACGGCATATAGACATACCTTTTTAATGACCTTGTGTCTAGCACAGCATAGATGCACACTTTTAATCACTGGGAACACCCTCCTTCAGCAGCTTCATCTGACCATGTTTACTCCCTAATTCTTTAATAAGACCTCAAATGTTCAGCCAATACATCGTGAGCTGGCCCTTCCTGTTTTGCCTGCATTACTTCTAGGACTCTCACTCAATATCATTATTGCCATTTATCATAATTGTGTAAGAAGCCTTTGAGTCTCTCTAAATCAAGCAGCAGTTAACAGTAATCTGTAGTTCAAGATTGTTGTCCCCCACCCTAAACCCCATCTCCCAAATATGAAAACACCCTGAAAATGGTGATTGTGCCACTATTAGGTTCATATATATATATATATATATTTACATGTAAGAGAAAGGGGAACTTTATTTTAAAAGGTTTGGGCTAAGACACTTGATAATTACAAGACGCCTGTTCCTAGTTTCACAGTACTTTCAGCCTTGCAATGAAGGGGAAACTTAATTATTTATTTATTTTTTTATTATTATTTATTTTTTAACTAGTCAGTGTGGCAACTTGAATTGAGAGAGTACCTTAAGTAGTTTCAGTCAGAATAAATCCAAAATACAAGCGTCAATCTATAGTAAAACTGATCTGAACATATCAACATTATAAAAATGCATGTTGGTGTAATCACAGATATGTGCTGCTTGCTTTTACTCCATATTCTTAAATGCTACTTACATTTATGTAAGTTAAAATGGCTCCCTATGCAGATATTTACAATTTTTAGGGAAATACATAATTACGTAGTAGCCAGTCTGATTAATCCCTTTTTTTAAAAGGCCACAAAGCCATTTGGCATTGGTAGGACTTATTGAAGTGGTACTATGTGTCCTTAAGGACAGCAGGGGCCCCTTTTATTTTTTCAAAAACACTTTTTTATTTTTGGAAGACTCCTGAAATCAGCTGCGTGTCTCTGCATGCCTATCTAAAAGTACATGGCGATTATGGATTTTTTTTTTTTTTTTTGAAGTTACGAGAGGCACAAAGCAAGCAGACACTCCTATCTCACTTGATCGACTGTCACTTGCTGCTAGTGTGAGCTGCGCTTCCCCTGCTTGAACGGTGGCGGGTCGGGTCGCTATGTCTTGTTGGCCTGGGGTTACAGTCTGGATAGGGGCCGCCTCTGTCCCATGCACAGAAATATCTCATAGATGCGGAAGACGCAATCCGGTTTAATTGCACATTCCGCTCCCTCCTTTCCCTATTTTTATCCTTTAATGATGAGGGCGCTTCCCCGCCCTACGGCTGCAGGCTAGACCCTGCGCGACGCCCCCTCTCTTAGGCGACCCCAAGGGCGCCCGCACGTGGCTCCACTCCGGGGGCTGTCGAACACCGGGGTCTAGAGTCAGCGCGCAGGCACGGCCTAACCCGTCCCCTGCACAGCGGTGGCCGCCGGGAAGCGTAGTCCAGTCCCCCCCCCGCGCGCTGGCGGCCAGCGGAGCAGGCCGCCTGCGCCTCCCGTCGTGCCCCGCGCGGGCGGGCGCCAGGCCCCGGATGTTCCCGGCGCCGGAAAAGAAGCGGGTCTCTTCAGGGTCGGCCATCTTGTGCGGTCGCGAGCAGGGGGCTGGGGCCTGGGCAGCATCGGAGGAGCATCCCGCCGACAGGGGCCCATCATGCCCGGACACCTGCAGGAAGGGTTCGGCTGCGTCGTCACCAACCGCTTCGATCAGCTCTTTGACGACGAGTCCGACCCCTTCGAGGTGCTGCAGGCGGCTGAGACCCGCCGGAAAGAGAGCGGCGGCGGCAGCCAGGGGGGCGGCGGCGGCGGCGGGGCCCGCAGCGGCC